AGATGTTGAGTTATGTATTTAAGCTCATCAAATATCGTGATGTATAACATAATATAAGATATTTCGCTATGCATAGGTAAATGCTCAAGTCAACTGAACAAGATGTTAATTTATTTTATTTAATAGTAATTTTGATGTTCTAACTTAAATATGATTGCTAATAAAGTTTTACCAAATTTTTAACACACCATACAAGATTCTAATAGTTTTGTTAATATCTAAATCTTGAAAAACTATAAAAACAATTAGATTAACACAATTGTATAAATTATTATCCAAATTTGACTAAAGATGTCATAATCCAATCCAATAAACTGCATAAGATATTTACGATTTCAAATCAATTGTCGAGATGTAACTTAAGTGATTGAGCGATTATCACTGTATCCAGTATTGGTGAAGTCGCTGAAGCATCTTGAGGGATTGATTAAAGTTGGAATAATGGATAATTGATTATGCTCATCTCAGTCGATCTCATCCATTAATTCTGTTGGAAGATTTTGAATTATTTTTCTAATGAATACTACATCAAAGGATGAAGGAGATTGGGGGATTGAGGTACGTATATCAATTAGGAATTAGAAATTTACTATCAAACTCCTAAATTAATACAAGCCATTGAATTATAAATTGTAATCCAATGACTAATATTTTTATTGTTCAATTCCCATCCTATATATATTCATAAATTTTTAGTACTTCTTATATCCGATACTTCCTATAGTTTCATGCTTAATTGTTACTGGTTAGTGCTTCATATTTATTCATAATAATTTTGAATTTCTTGTGTGTTTTGGATTTTCATATCAAACTATTTTATAAATACATTTATTTTTTATAAAACTATGACATCAAAATATTATATGATTATACAAATAAAATACAAGTACAAATCAAACAACCTGGCAAATTTCTCTATGATGGGTTACTTCTTGTTAAATGGAACTGCACAATTTGTCAAGGTTTTATTTTATAAAAATGTTAATTAATAGTTCAATATTGATAATATAACTATTTCTTTATTTTTTCTAAATTTTATTTCAAATTATATTTTCTTCTAAGTTTTAACTTCACTTCACTCCAACCATTCTATTATTTTTCACTAAAAAGAATATTTCATATATATATATATATATATATTTCTTAATTTATTTAAACAATTACATAAATTTTATTTAACTTTGATTTATTTACATATTAAGCTAAAAATATAGTTTTATAAATTTTAATTATACGTAGTACAATATTGATAATTTTTTAAAAACATAAAATAATTTAATTTAAATCTAAAATAATACAAAATATAAGAAAAAAAATATCAACATATATTAAAGATAAATTTTGGGGGATAAATTTTAATTATACATAGTACAATATTGATAATTTTTTTAAAATAAATAAAATAATTTAATTTAGATCTAAAATAATACAAAATATAAAAAAATAAAATATCAACATATATTAAAGATAAAATTTGGGGGTAAAAAAAAAAAATGTTACTTCATTTATGAAGTATTTTTTCCAAATATTGAGAACATCGTCTAATAAGTAATTATGAGGAAAGATTGGTTCACTTCCAACCAATTCTTTAGTCGCCTAAGTCTATGATAAATACAAAGTGGTTGTTGTATTGAATACATATAACAAATAAATTATATGATATTACCTCCGCCCACAGCTAATCTATCCATTTACATTTGGCGTTATTGTTTTTAACATTAAAAATATCATTTTATTTGTATAATTTTTTATACAAATATTATTACATTAGTATTATAAAACACCAATAAAAATATTTTTGTCATTTTTCCTTAATTTGTACTATGTTTTGATATAATAATTAATATTCAAAGATTAACGTACAAAAAGTAAATGGATAGACTGGTGGTGAACAGATGTAGTATATTATTATTTCCTCGATTCTCTTTGTTTATACAATAATTACATACATGCATAACATACTATAACCATATTTCCCATATATTACATATAATATTTACACACTATCATTAATATACATATCATTCACCCTGGCTACACAGATATCACTAATATATATATATATATATCAATATAATTGTGTTTCAAAGTTTTTGCAAAATTTTACAAATATAATAGTTTATGATTTTTTCTTTTAATTATGACTAATCTTGTCAAACATGAATTTATCTATTTTTTGTATTTGGCCAAAATTATTCGGCATAGACTCGCTATGTAAAAATACATCTTCCTTTAATTTGCTTGAGAATTACTAATGGGATATATAAAATTATGACGAGTCAAAGATCGTGCAAATGATACGATCTTTTTATGCGATCACATCAATGATATACCAAAGAAAGTAAATAAAGTGTTATATGTTTAAATAATTGGTATGCATATTATTTTATGTTTCTTTTGATTTGTTTTTGGGTAATGCTATTCAGACTTACTCAATTAGTATGATATAGGTGTCTCGAGATCGCGCTTCAGATCAGGCGCAAATGGATATTGACGAGGCCTTTCGACTTGTCATCTAAGCGGGCAAGTAAGCGAGCACCATAATGATACACGAGCTCAACTAGATAACGATTAAGATATTTATGAAGAAATTTAAATATGACTATTTTCATTTATTATTATTAAGGTAATAAGTATATTATATTGTAGGCTCACTTGCTTTTATTTACTTTTTTTTTTTTTTTTTCTCAAACTTATAAATGTGTGATCTATATATATATATATATTGTAGGCTCACCATCACGGTATTTTATTTGATTCAGTTGTCATAAAAGTAGGAATGCCTTAACTTCCTTTGATATGACAAGAAGTTCAAGTTTTAGAGATTTGCCTTGGGATGTAGTACTATAACAAATTAGGTAAGACGATTAAGTTTGACCCGAGTATATTAAGGGATGTGTCGAGTCAGGTGGAGAAGTTTAAAAACGGATGTAATGTAATGATAGAGCTAAATATTTTTAGAATTATATTTCAATAAAATATATGCAATATAAATATTATTTCGTATATAATAAAAATTTATATAATACATAAATGAAAATATATATTTATTTATCTATAATTAACTTAAAACTAATTTTATAAAAAAAAAAATTGAAAAGTTTTAAATATAAATATAAATATTTAATTATTGAAGAGGGATATAAATGAGTTTTGAGTGAAGCCTATTCGTAAAAAGTTAAAAAATTAATTAAATTGATTTATATTTGTTAAATATGTTTAAAATGAATAAATTTATTAAAAAAAAATAAGTCTGATGCACTGAAAGAGTACTATTTATAATGCTATTTTAAATAGCTTTAATTATATAATATTTTAAATCCAAGTCAATTTTAATCCATATTCATTTAAAATTCATACAAATTCAAATACATTGGACCAAATAAAATTTGTTTTTGAGTGTTTAAATTTTGAATTAAAGAAATTTTTTGATATAATAAATACTCCCTCCGTCCGATTTATATATCTGAGTTACGGTATATACAAAAATTTAGGATAAATATAAATAATAAATAATTAAAAATATATTAGTAAAAATAATTGTCCTATAATATAAATAATTAGATATTCAGATTAAAATAATTAATCTAATTAAAATTTTTTAAAAAATTATAAATTTAAAATGAGATTAAGACCTGAAAATATTAAAAAACCAAAAAAATGACATGAAATGTGAAACTGATAACAATGGTAATATGGACAAAATAAATAGGACAGATGAAATAAATATAAATATGATATTTAAATATAAAATTAATTTTTAAAATATTATAAATAATAATAAAAAGTAATTATTTGATTGAACTTATTTTTGCAAAAAAAAAAAAAAAAAAACTTTAAGAAATAATAAAAATACTCCAAGCAAATACATCATAGAAGAAACACACATACCATTTTATAAGAATCTCAATTAAGGAATGACTTTCTCTAAGATAATAGAATATATCTAATATATATAATATTTAGGCTTGCCACGGTGTTTGGCCTATTGATTTTTTTTTTTATTTTTTTATTTTTTGGCCTATTGATTTTTATTTTTTATTTTTTTTTTAAATTTTATGAATGTAGGTTCCACAAATTAAAATGACTTTCATTTTTTTCATTGATGATAAAGGATGCTTTTTTTTAAAAAAAAAAAATAAAATTTATAAGTGTGAATCCCACAAATTAAATTTATAATTTCTTTTTATTATACGTAATAATATTTTTACAAATTCATGTGCATAGCACACGGTCACCACTAAGTATACATTGAGACTCATAGTTAAAAAATAAATTGAGCAAACAGACTGCAAATAATCAATCTATCATAATTATTTACAATAAAATGGATTGATCATTTCTAAAAAAATTTACTATTTACTTGGTGTATCAAGAACTAATTATAAAACATAATTGAACATCATATCTAAAAATATCTTCACTCCATTGTTATTATCTATATACACGCATACATAAATATTACTTCATTCGTTCCACTTATCATGTCTATTTTTCTAATTTTTTCTATTTTCATGTCTTACTTATTTTGTCTTTCTTTCTTTGAAAAAATTATAAACTTTAATTTTATTCTAAAAAAATTTTAATTTTATTTTAAAATTTAAATTATAACTGTTTTAAATTTTAATTAAGCTATTTAATTATCTCAATCTTAATCTAAAATTATTTTTATTATACGATAATTATTTTCACTAATCCATTTGACTATACCATTCCATCAAATTAAACTATAATATAAAAAATAAAATAAATTCTTTACTCAAAAAAAAAAATTGTAATTTCAAATTAAAATCACACATTATTTACTCTCCATAATTTTCAATAAAAATATAATTATTTACTCTCGTAAAATATTATTTAAACAAAAATTCAAATTAATATCTCAATTCAAATTAATTTCAAACTACAGCTAAAGACTCGAGGGCGCCTAAAATGGACAGGGAGTAATTAAAAAATAATAATAATAATAATAATAAGTAGAGAACACAGCAACAACCAAACAAAAGTTTCAGGCTTTATTTATTTACACAATTGTCTTTAATGTTTAATTCATTCCAGTGGCGATGCTATCTATGCTTGTGAAAGACAACCAAAAAAATTGACCTAAAAGGGGAAGGAATTCTCTGAATTCTGCAAACTACAATGAATCCATCAAAAGTGATTTTGTTTGTAAATAACACATAATAACAAGGGAGGATAAGATAGGCCAGTTTCCCTATGAGCTAAAAAGAATGCTTTTTGAATGAGTATTCTACCTTCGTCAAGTCAAAGCCCCTTTAAAAAGTCGATGCCCTCGTCCTGTGGGCACGCATGACTTGTTCCTTCCGGCTAAAGAACCCACCATTTTGTGTGTTTCATTGAACTACACAGGTATCAATTACAAGCCATTAGGCCCAGAAAAACAATAAGAGAACAATAATATTTTAAATTTTTCATCAAACAGCGACGAATCAATTTCTCATTGGCGCACAAGAAACCATAAAAGCTGATATAGCGATGGTAAGCTGAAAACTGAAAAAGTAAATGAATTCACTTCAAGGCTACCCTCCATCAGGAATGAAACTGTGGGGCAAATAATAACTCTAATTGCTGAGAACATATATTGCACATATGTAACTTTGGACTCTTTTTGACATATGTACTACTTTTTTCATTTTACAACTAAATAGGCAAACAAAAAAGCATTGGATAAATTGCTCAAACTAGATCAGCGTTAACTAATGCAGAGATACACTTGTCCAGATAATAAACACTTATCTTCAAGCTATGTGGGGTGGGGTTTGCGATTCCCTTAACAGAAAAGAAACTTCAGAAGACATTTAGAAATTACGTGACAAACACAATAGCTAACACTTCTAATAAAGTAATAATGATAATAGTTCTTAACACTATTTGGTGCTTAATTAAACAATAAGGTGGCATTTGCAATGGAGGGTAAACTGAACAGAGAATCGATATGGATTTCAAAATTTGGGTAAATATGTACCTTGAAGTCTGCTGGCAACTTCAGATTTGTTCTGAGAATTATTTCTTCCCACAGGAGGCAATCAATAAATCAAATTTTACCAACCAAAGTGCAGCTGCAGAATATGATTGCGGCATGGTTGACAAATTTGAAAATATTTCTTCCGTGGCAAAATATGAAGATGGAACACTATTCTGGTAAAACCATTCTTCATTGATTGCAGTAACGAAATCAGCTAGGACCTAAAATGTCAAATTGGGCAATAATGAGTTCATTTTCCGGAATTCAATAGTATACTACATGCTAGAGAAACAACAATGATAGGTACACCATTGATCACCTGTAGAAACTCTCTCAAATTGGAGGCTCGTCGTATCCTGTTGACCCATAGATTATGTGCAGATCTTTTCCAAGAGCCCACCAAAGCATCTTCAGGGACGACAGACTAAAAGTAGAAAAAAAATTAATTATAATCAAACTGGTATCAGAGTACAAGAAAGTTAGGAAAAATCCATCTATACATGGTCTCCTTAGGTCTAAAATCTTTTGTATTCTTTGAGTATGTTTCGAACAAAAAACTACCTGCAAATTTTTTTCCTGAAATTTGCTAGTAAATATTTCAGCAAACAAGAAAAGAAAATATGTTCCTTGTGCTTGTCTTCTAATCCCGATAAGAAGGAAGACTAATGAAGCAGTGAAGGGCAATCTAATATAATAACTCCCACAATCTAATGTGAGCAATTCTATTGCAAGGCCTCCAAAAAAGATAAAAGTGGCCAATTCAATTACTTATAATATTATTAATATCCCTTTGAAACTACTTAAAAATAAAATAAACATAAGCAACCAAACTGCAAGTGATATCCATGTGCATAGTATGCAACTCCAGTGTATTAGATATGAATTTAGATCGAGGGTCACTACCTCTATTGCGTAGATAGCAGCCTTTAGTGCCTGCAATTTAGAAGATAACACTCTTTTCCATTGGCGACCATTAACACCATGGCTAGCTTGGCAAACTGCAGTATGAACAGCATACTTTTCTTCCAAACCAAAATCAAGCTCAAATGTTGTATGGCAGATTCTACAGTGCTTTTCATCTCTCCAATAGAGGTCCTGACATTGGTTGCATCTTCTTAGTGAATTAAGATGGGCCTTATTTCCATTTTTTACAGCATTGAGTTCAGAGTAAAATGATTTCCATATCCATGAATCAAAAGCCTTGGAATCACGAGATTTTCCAGCCAGCTGATCCCCTTTTACACTCACTTCAACAGCTGCTGAACCAGAAGAAGAGGGAATTTCATTTTGCCTCCCATTCATGCTTAGATGGTTGTCTATATCTGAAACAGGCGACGAGCTAAATTCTATTGAAGTATTTGATTCAGATTGATCTGTATGGCAAGGCAGCCTAGTTCCGTTGTCATTTTTCATATTGGAGATCGAATGGCTCAGAATTGCTTCCCTCTGCTCTAAGGATGCAAGAAGACGAGCCTCCCGAACACCCCTGCTGTCCAGAACTGACAACAATGAATACAAAGCCTACACATAAACAGAAGGGTAAATCAATCTCTTGCATGAAGCAATGTGTACTTTATTTATAAGGAAATAAGTAATGATAGCGAAACCTCTTTAGTATCAATCATTTCCCAGTGGCCATCATCAGAAGACTCAAAGTAGATTCTCCTGTGTCCAGGATCACCTTCATCACAAGGACCCAAAAACAACCAGTATCTATTGAACCTACGATCAGAGCCTAGATAAACAGATTGCATTGGATGTAAGCACTCCTCTCCTTCCATTTGTTCTTCTATCTTTTTCATGCTGGCATACTCCTCTTCCTTGCTAATCCTTGACAGGGGAACCAAAGTATCAACTGGTTCATCTGGCATATTTCCATCAAGCCTGTTCAAAGTTTGCCCACTACTGCTCTTTAGCAAGACAAGTGGACCACTCTGTTTGCCTGTTGATCTCTTTATTTTTGCACCAGAGCCATAATAATTGTTGGGATGACATTCCAGACTTGATGTTATCCCCTGGAGATCAAGTGTGTCCAGATCAGAAAGACTAAATATTTGTATATAATGCATCTGAATAGAATGAATGAAATCTGTGAGATTCATAAGGAACAAACAACCAAAACAATCAGGATTACCTCAACTCGGAAACTGGATCCAGCAGTAAGCAGATCAATTAATGAATTTAATGCATTGAGCTTCTCTTCAATGCTTAAATTGGCATATTCACCCTCTGTCAGTGCTAACAACCATACTTCCCCTGGAAGGCTCTCGTCAATTTCATTGTATACACTCAGTATATCTGTGTTAGAATTAGCAGCATCAATTCTTGAAGGACTGGGAGCCCTGGATTCATGCTCAGAGTCATTGGTATCATCTCCACCAGTGATTTCAGATATCTCATCTATGCTCCCAAAATCTTCAGAATCAGATTCACATCTGTCAGAGTCATTTTCAGCAGCTTGGATCCGCAATCGATATCCAGATGAGGAAATCTTTTCAAACAATGTTATGTCACCGGCGAGACAAGATGCAATCAAATTCTCCAGGTCGGGGAGTGTATCCGTTAGATTCAACTGCACAATCTTTATGGGCAAACGAAGATATCATTATGTTAGAAATTAACATCCATGAATGAATATAGCTTGCATATATCAAATTGGACATTCAAGAACCATTAAGAAAAAATATATATATGTATATATACTTACTGATGAAGATCTAGCCAATTCAGAAACCTTCATCCCACTATTTCCAGCTGTTAATAAAATACTAAAAAGTTCTCCCTTCAGCGTACAGGGACTTAAGTCATACTTCTCCATGAGATTGACCTCCTGCCAAGGTGAAGAAGATTGATTACATGTGTGTGTGCACGCTAATATAATTTATGTTAATATATATAATATGTAATGTTAATATCGCTAAATTATGTTGTGTTATTATATATATGTGTTAATATATATTAACACGATGAAACAAAATTAGAGCAGAAAAAAAAGATTTATATCAGGAAATCAATCACCTTCTTGCAAGCTGCTTTCTGACCCGTACCAATCTTAGAACCAAAACCGGCTGTAACAAATATCTGACACAGTATTTCGGTCCATGTCATGAGATTCAGAGACTTGTGCCAGAACTCAAATACAGATTGACGATGCTCAAGCTGTAAAAACATGAAAATAAGCGTAAACAGATTTTCAACAAGGCAGTAAAATGCATTACTAATTCTCTAAGGGTGTGTTCGTTAAAAGGATTTGTCCAAAATCCTACTATTTATCCAATTTTTTTCTCCTAAAAAATATCAAATTAAACGCCTATTTTTTTATATATTATACTAAAAATTAATTTCATTCAAAACATCTGATCAACAACTATTTATATCACATCATACAACTATTACAATTCAAAATTTTTCCTATTCAAATTCCAACTCAAAATCTAATCCCTCAAACAAACACACCCTAAATTGTCAACAGCCATTTACATTAAAAGAGAAAATTTAGAAAAAATAAAAGAATTCCTATGGAGAAGATCAGAACTACTAGATCTTCATGCAACTAGCATGATGAAGACAAGATGTGTGAAGCAGTCATACAAGTTTTGTACTTGATCTGAAATAGCATAGTGCTGTTGGCAATGAGCTTAGCTATGCTGAAATAAATGTTTGCCAAGCTAGTTCCAAAATGCTACGAAAACAAATGGTGAAGCCACATATTCCATGATTGTTTAGAGCTTAAATACCATGGCAGTGTATAAAAAGCTATACTTTTTGAACGACTAAAATGTTATAACTACACAATCAAGAGAGATTATCGCAAATCATCTTCTCATGGCTTGCTTGAGTTCCCTCAAGCATACATGAAAATGACCTTCAGAAAAGGAAACATGTAACAATAGCAGCCATTGAATAATTCGCACTTATAAAAGGAGTAAAAAGAACCAAAAAAAAAAAAAACAATCATAAAACGACTCAAGTTACCTTCTGATTTCAAGATTAACTCTCTCTCTCCTCTCTCTCTCTCTCTCTATATATATACACACATACATATATTTATAGATCATCAGTGTAGCGTATTTCAAACTCATGCACTTCAATGATATAAATTAAACATTCTTAGAAGAGTCATATATACATAATGTTGAAATGTTTACATTAAAAATACCCATAGACTATGTTTATAGTATCTTATATAAAAGTCTTCACAACCTAGTTTAAATCTCATTTACAATTAGACCTGAACTCCACAGCACATCTGTTCATCCATTAGCAAGGGAAACAAGGATAGATTGTACACATATTTAACCCTCCTAATAAAAAAGGTATAGCAGAGATCATAAATTTAACTTTTCTATAATGCACGGAAGAAGTTAAATTCATGGCTGTCCATGGCATGGTGCAAGTCCAACATCAAAGAGCACAAATAACCACCGCTACACTGTGAAATATGGCTTCAATAAGACACTCACAGCACTCACCATGGTCAACCTTAATCCAAATGCAACCGATGTCATTGTTCTAGGTGGAATTCTTTTGTTTTATTTATTTATTTATTTTATGTCCTTCACTTCAAGAAAGTTTACTTCTCTTTGTTCTCCATAATTATATCCAGTACTAAATGATATAATAGAAGACACTGGCTTGTTAATTTTTGTTTCTTACATAAACAGAAGTAAAAAATATGAGTACAATCTACAGTGGGATACTGCTTTGTATTTTATTCTTTGTGTAAATAAATTAAATATAGGCATTTTTACCATAGTTTTCCAGAGTTCTGATATGGCACATGCTGCACACTATATACCACGATCTTAAAAAGATTTTGCATATGTACAACACAACTTATAATTGGTTTTATAATGTAACATCATGTTGAGCTACTTGTAATAAAATGAAGAAAGCAAAAGACTATCATTGGAATATCAACCATTCACTTTGACATACCGAAGAAAGCAAATGCAAAAATTTGCAGTTTTTGCTTGCGCGAGAGAGAAGACTTCTACTTAGTTCCTTGCCTATATCTGACAAAAGTAGCTTGAGAAGAGCCAAGTGCACTTGTCCAAGCAACAATGAGTCCTGGAACACAACAGGGTGGAGGAAAGCACATACTTAGAAAAGGGGAAAATTAAAAATAAATTAAATAAATTTTTAAAAAAAAGGAAAGGAAAAGAAAAGGAAGGCCAACAGGCTCAACATTATATATCAGCTTACCTTATCATGAAATGCTTGTGCAAACTCATCCAAGGTGAAAGAACGCATACTGATGGTAACAGCATATGTACACAAAAAATGGTATGCCTTCACAAGGAATAGAAAAGAATTATTAAACTTAGACAAAATATAATAGATAAAAATAATGCCATGTAAACTTTGAAAAGACAAAATATAGTTTGAACATGAGGCAATAAATGAAAAGGTAGCAGTATCCTATAATGGTATGATGAAATATAAAATATGACAGAGGTGACCAGAATAATGGTATATATATCTATATACATACACTTCTCTCAACACCTATGTAATAAAAAGGCATTTGAGTATCCTCAAAAGTAAAAGTTCTAATAAATCTATGAATGACAAAATACAAGTTCGAAAGCACATATTAATAATTATGCAGTGATACAAGGTTCATTGAAATATTGAAGCAGCATAATTCTTCATATGTAAGAATATTCTGCTTACATAATAGCTAATTATATTAATTGAGTGAAAAGTGAAATCATTATAGACAATTTTGGCACTAAACTATTAATGAAAGAGCAAAGCTATAGTAAAAAGATATTTAGGGTGTGTTCGTATGCAAGATTTTGCAAAATTATTACTATTTATCCAATTTTTTTCCCCCAAAAACATCAAATCAAACACCTATTTTTTATTTTTTATATTATACTAAAAATTAATTTTACATTCAAAACATCACATCAACCCCTATTTATATCACATCATACAACTATTCAAATTCAAAACTTTTACTATTCAAATCCCAACTCAAAATCCAAACCCCAAACAAACACACCCTTAGATACCTTAAAAAGTTTGCTGACTAGTACTGGTGAGGAAGCCCAAGGTTGTCCTGACAAAGGCATCCTCATTGTGACTGAATGCGGAGGGAACTTGGCAAGCAAATCTACCAAACACCATGAAATATTTAGAATTTGAAAATTCAGTTAAGGGAGCAACATATAGCCAGATGATAAATACATCACACAAGGGTTCATCCAGATTACTCAATCGCATGGAATCGAATATGTGTAACATACATTAAATACTCAAAACATATTTTAATCAACCTTTGCACAGGGAACATCCAGGAGAACCATTGGTTGGAAAATGAGAACAAGAAGATGTCAGATTATAATCTTCTTGTAATTCTCTGAGCTCGAGTTCCTCATCATCTACTAGAGTTGAGGGCTGTGTGTATTCCAGACATTTTGCATTGTCAAGGGCAAGCTCACATTTTCCTTTACGAGGTTGCTTCCACTTTTGAGCTTTCTGGCATTCCACCTGCAATAATATATTTTAATATTTGGTTGACTAGATCATCATCGAAAGGATCTCAATATCAATACAAAAGCAGAAATAAACTCTACTTTTTTACGTCTCAGGGAAGCATTCCTTTTAGCTTGTTGTTCTCTGTTTGCCAATTTTCTCTGTGGGACAGAAAATTTCATATAAATTTTCATGGATGAACTTTCATGTGACACAGGGAATCAGCATAGCATTTGGGTAACTAATTTAACAGTTCAAGTACAATAATAGAGAGTTGATCATCAAACAAACCGTAATGGATTCTTTAGGCGGTACTCTTTTCTTCTTCTTTTGAACAGCATTCTTGCTAACATTACCATCAAATGGAAGCTCTGTCTCATGATGATTTGCATCCGGCCAAGCCATCATCAAACCTTTCCCAACACCATGCTTTTTCCGAGTAGCACCCTCCTGAGTTATCAAACCTTTGCCCATGCCATGTTTCCTAAATGGAAAATCCTTTGAAGTCATTGGGCCTTTCCCGATTCCGTGCCTCAATGTAGGTGAACTGTTCTCACAACAAGTTTCATAATCTAAGATGGTATGCACAGAAGCCTGCCACAGGAGAAGTAAAAATATTAGAACATGGAGAATTCCAAGTGCTTTTTGCAATAACGATTTATCAAACATCAAAAGAAACTTTCCTGCACCTTTCTTCTTTTATGAGCATGTGATCCATTATCATGATGATGCTTTTGGGAACCTGGATCAGAGAGACAAATCAAGTCACTGATCTTGTGTTTGACATCAGTTATATTTACAATAATAATCATAGTGGCTAAAAATCAGTTAAAAAACTTAAGACCAGGCCTTTCACGGGTTTCAAATGCACATCTACAATAGGCAGTACTTTCGAATCCAACTCAGTTAATCAATCACCTGGTGATGCCTATCTATAATACCACTTGGTTTTGGACATGCAAACTAATATAACTAGCAACTCAATGCAACTGGTTCTACAAAATTACATTAGCTAGCATAGTTGACCAAAATATTCCAAATAAAGCAACAATTCAGACTATCATACCTAGAAAGCATAAACAATGGTCATAGTCATAGCTGTATATGGCAAATTACACATGCCTTGCATGATATTAAAGCTCAAAGTATAATTAAATTAAAACATATAAACATATATCATTCATAATTTTAACAAAACATTACAGACAAATTATATTTTACTAAATAACATATATAAAACTTCACCTTATTACTTATAAATAGAAGAAAAATAAATAGTTCATAATGGTTACTTCACAAGTGCATTTTCATAAATTCAAATTGTTAATAGTTGAATGATGGAACCAGACCAAGTACACATTATTTTTTGCCACGGCCACAGAGACACGATCTAGAGGTTTTAGAAAGCATGGACACTTGTTAATAATTAAAGTGGTATGTCTGGGTGTCGTCTCTCCTGAAGAAAAGTTAAACAGAACCATGAAAAAGAAATGTACACCATTTTGATTGAGTCTGCAACACAAATAAATAGTTTCCTTTCCCCAATTCCTGAATCATCCTTTGCTTCAGTTTCTCCATTTTTGTTCTATCGACCATAAGAGATTGTGCTTGTAAGCTAACATAACCATCAGAAAGACATAATAGTACCCCATAGATGGCTATGGTCAAACATAGGCTTTGCATCAGTTATTCATTTACAAGCCGTTAATTTATCAGTGTCGAAGATTAAGACACAAAACAAATTGCAGAAAGAATCTGCTGCAACATTCCATTTCACGTATGTCAACCTAATATCAGCATGCACCAATAGCAAGAAAATGAATTCATTTCCGTTGACACTGGAAATCACATAATGAAATATTCCCAGCAATAGCCCGACTTCACTGAAGAAAAACAATACTTGATTGTTAGGAATTAGATATTTTCCATCAAAAGCTTCCAACCAAAAAATCACAATCATTTGAATACCCGAGCAGCAAGCACAATTCATAAGTCAAACTTAGCAAACATCTCGAATAAACCAAAATGAGCAAGCGACTTCCATTCCCTTACCGCAGAGGAAAGCATTCGACGGAAGAGAATCAAACTGGTCTCCGAGAGGGGGACCGTTCTTGCGGAAAATCTTGGTGAAAATGTACTCCTGGGTGTACAAAACCTCCTGAAGCCGCATCCTGTAGTCATTTTCATTCATAAAAACCATCTGCTGCTGACCCTTGCTCTTCCTCTTCCTGCAACGAGCACTGCTCCGGGAGCCATGAATTCCGGCAGAATTAATCCCACTCTCCACCCCTTGATCAGACACTGACATGGTGCCACTTGTTGCGATACTTTCGAGAATCAATTCATCACAAATATCAGGAAGACTGATCAACAGAAGCGCCAGGGAAGGATGGGTAGAACTCAGTTCAGTTGGGTGTGTGCTTTTCAGTCTTAAGGGAAAATGAAGGGCAGAGAGATAGCAGGGGTTTGAAGAAGTAGGGTTTTGGGTTTTGTGGGGATATTTTTTCTGAATATATTTTTTTTTAACAGTTGTATCTATTACTCCTACTATTATTTTTCTTATCGTTATTTTAAATTAAGAGTCAAAACGAAAATATCTTCAATGAAGAAATTGTCCCCTTCATTACTCGGCTCGGTTTGAACCGGTCGGTCTAGAGGAAACCCGGTTGATCGCTCCAGCTTGATCCTGCCTCCGATATGCAATTTTATTATTCTTATATTTATTATTAGACAAAAAATCATTTTTATTCTTAATATAACCAAAATTTATCTCAATATAAAAATTTTATTAATTTTGTCCCAATATAATCAACAACTCATCATTTTTTGTCTCAATATAAAAATTTTATCAATTTTAGTCTCAATATAACAAAAATTCATCAGTTTTTATTCCAATATAATCAAACCTTTTTTTTTTGTCGCACCGTCAACAAACCGACGGAAAATGCTGACGTGAAAAGAAATCAAATCTTATATTTATATTTAAAGAAATTGCACAATCTTGCAAGTACACGTCAGCATTTTCCGTCGGTTTGTTGACGGTGAGACCAAGAAAGATAATGTTTGATTATATTTGAACAAAAAATGATGAGTTTTAGTTATATTTGGACTAAAATTGATAAAAATTTTATATTTGAACCAAGAATAATGAGTTTTGGTTATATTGGGACAAAAAATGATAGTTTTGATTATATTAAGACCAAAATTGATAAAATTTTTATATTATGACCAAAATTGATAAATTTTGATTATATTAGGACAAAAATAACTTTTTCCCTTATTATTAAATACAAGTCTATGATTTATTTTTTTATTATTTAAAATTTAAATTCAATAAAAAAAATAAGAAAGTGACAGAGTATTACTCCTTTCATCCCGGTAAAACTATTCAACTTAATATAAACACGTAAATTTAAAAAAATATAATTATTTAATAGTTAATAAATGTATTAATAAAAATAATTATTATATAATATAAAAAATATTATAATAAAATAATAATATTATTGTTGTTCGCTCGAAACGCTGGCTTTTGGAGCTATTCTGGAGTGTGGCGCGGAGCCGCCGTCACTGCCATGTTGCCGCTGACCACAGCCACTGTCGACAACCACCTACGCCGGTGTTGCTTTGCCTCCAGTACTTGGAGGCCGTTGCTCATCTGATTTCGTCAGCAAAAATCATTTGGGCGCCATTGTTCCCCAATTTATCTGATTAATGTCGAACACGATAAGTGACTAAATATAAGGTTGATAATGTAGTCTTCTTTCAGTAGTTTCTAGATAGGACAAGTTACAATTGGACAATAAATAGGTTGATGGGCATGGGATGGTGACGACAATAAAACTCGACATCAGGAGGGGGAGAAGCATGGTTCGTCGCGCGGACCGGCATCGCGGATCAGCCTTTATTATTCCAGATCGTCGCAGTGTATCGGTCGCGACGTATCGTTGAAATATCGGCTTATGTAATTTTTTTATATAAAAATTTATATTTTTTTAAAAAAAAATGATAATAAACAATTAAAATCCATCAAATCATATATATATATAATTAATTTTAAAAATATATATTATTGAAAAAAAATATATTATAATTTATAATAAATTAAAATTTAAAATAAATCATATTTCAACTCAATTAGCATGTGTATATATATATATGAATGTAAATACTAAATTTTATGATTTGCATATTGTCATTATACTAACAAATTTATTTTAATAACAAAATAATGTATCTTGTGTCCATCAATGTCAAAATTTCATTTTTATCATTTGTATTACATATAAATAAAAATAATTAGAAATAAAAATACCAAATAAAATTTTATAAAATGTTCAAACTATGTTTATACTAAACATTTATACTAACCATTCAATACCATGTGGAATGTCGTGGAAACTCAAATCATTTTCATTTGCCGATCGATTATAGTATGAATATCTTTGTTATGGATTCCTATTGCGTGGATAAAGGGAGATGTTCGAACCATATTGATTTTCTCTAAATGAACCTTTTCTATATACATCAAAATCTTGATATTCCATACTTTTAAAATATATTTGGAAGCAATATATTATATTTATGGTAGTTATCTTATTTAACAGATTCGTAAGATTCTGGTCTTATTTAGACGATTTGTATATCACTATAAATATGTACGTATTTTTATGATTTAAATAGAGAATTTCAGTTTCATATTCTAATATGGTATCAGAGTCAAATTCTCTCTGGGTACCTCCATGACCCGTTATATCCCTTATATATTTTTATATTTTATTAATATATTTGCTTCTATCCACGATCATGTTGTTATTTTCATGTCGTTTCTGTCTCTGCTACTCCACTAACAGAGTCTACTTTCGACTTTAACGCCGTTGAGAGTCTTGTTCTCGACTCTAACTCTATTGAGAGTGAGGGAGTCTCGTTTCCGATTCTAGCTCTGTTGTGAGCGAGCGAGTCCTGTTTCCGACTCTAGCTCTATAGAGTGAGCGAGTCCTGTTTTCGGCTTGAGTTCTGTTGTGAGCGAACGAGTCATGTTTCTAACTCTAACGGTGTTGAGAGTTCTGCTTCTGAATCTGATCCAATGGACGGCTACATCACTTTCAGTCAATCTTGACGAATTCAAATTCGTATGTGGAAGATCTCGGCTATATCCTTTTCGGTCACTTCTGACAAACTCAAGTTTTTCGATCATATCTTCAGTTTGAGGATGAGTGTTAAAATATATTTAGAAGCAATATATTATATTTATGGTAGTTATCTTATTTAACAGATTCGTAAGATTTTGGTCTTATTTAGACGATTTGTATATCACTATAAATATGTACGTATTCTTATGATTAAAATAGAGAATTTCAGTTTTATATTCTAACACATACTATTATTGCTTCTGCTTGATAAACCATTATTCTGTCTACGATCATCTATACTGCCCGAACCAGATGTAATCCCTCCATAATATGTTCCAACTGGTTGGTTAGATCCAAAGATAAAAAGATTGGTTGAATCCTGAAGATGTCTGGGTAGATTAGACAAACCATATCCTGAGTAATAGGGATGATGACATGCATTTGGTTGGTCCCACTCCGGCCTACCCAATTTATTACTTGAATTGTGAGAAGAATCTTCATAGGAATAACCTATATTCAAATCTTGCATATGTTCGTGAACTCCAGAATATCTCCTATTATCTGAAAGATTTGAAACATTGGCTTCACTTGAAAATTCTATTAAACTATTTAGAAAATCTCTTTGAACTTCTATACCAGGACGATATCCATGATCAGTGTCTTGGGTATCATAATAATTTTCATTTCCTTGAGCTCATCCCATATCACTTGAGTATCGGTTATCCCTATAGCTCCCATTAGCACCACCACCATCACCACCACTAATAATTTTCATTTTCTTTGATCATTAATCTAAAATATAATTTTCATAAAAAAATATGATTCAAGTCAATTGGATCATAAAAAACGTCTGTGTTTGTCCTTTATATAAGAATTTTTACCCGAAAACGCATGTTATAGTGAACATAGACTAGCTTATGGAGTTTCTCAATAGTTAATATATTCCAAAAAGTATGGATAAAAAACAACGTACTCCAATTCCGCTCACAACCCGATGATGTGCAAGTTTGACTCAAAACTTTTAATGCAATTTTTCTTATTAGGAGCTTCATCACCATACATATTCCACAAGTCAGTTACTAAAAATAAATAAAATAATATTAATAATGCAACATTTTATACTCACTCCGTCCGCCAAATTTATTCTTACTTTCCTTTTTAGTCCGTCTCCTAAATTTCTCATTACTAATATTGACAAAATCAACAAATCAACATTTAATTATTACTCTTCATTCATCACTTATTTACAACAAATATCACTAACTTTATTATATTTCTCTGTTTATTTACTTTAATTTCTAACCAAATTTCCAAAAAATATCATCAACTACCTATCACTTTTTCAATAAAATATTCGTTTTTCTTAGTTCTTGTGCCGAACCCAAATGGGCTAATTTTATTGGAGGGAAGAAGTAACAAGTATGTTTAAAAATATAATTAAATGATAAATTTTATAATACATACTTGGTAAAGATGTAGATACAGTTCTAATATATAAAATATGCACATATATTTATATATGTTCTTTGAATGTACAAAAAAATATTTGAAATATTATATAAAAATTTTACATATTTACCTTATTCATAGCCTTTACTTGTATATCCAAATTTGGCTCGAGTTTTTAAATAACTTATTTTACTCATTTTCGAACTTTCGATGAATCAAATTAACAAATGCTAGAGTATTGAAGATCCGGATTTAAAAACTAAGCTACATGAAAGGTATATAAAATTAAAAAATAAAATAAACAAGTAGCACAATGTGAAAAGGAAAAAAGTAACAACAATAATTACATGTTACATACAAATATTGATGCAATTGGTTATACCATTTTTTCATCGATGATATCTCAATATTGCTGAAAATCTTTCACCACGGTTTTTATTGCAATTTTTTCTTTATTCATTGCCTCATAAATGATATATCTGGTCACAACAGATCTTGTTATACCTGGTCGCAACAGATCTCGACCATTCGTATATATTTTCATCAAATTGACCACTTTATAATTGTTGTATATAAATCTTGTAATTCTTCTGGCTTCTTTTATCGTATCATTCACTGAAAATATATCTTCGATGTCTTCTAACATCAAATCAATGTAATGCGCAATGCATTGAGACAAAAAAAAAAAAAAAAAGTGATTCCTTTTCCTCATCAGTTTTTCCCAACAGCCTTCATACTAGTTTCACTATCAGTTACAATTTGTACAATATTATCAACCCCTACTAAATCCACAACCTTATCCATTAGGGTGTATACAAAGTCTGCAGTCTTTGCCTTATTTGTACAATCAACCGAACTTTGATATATCATATCTTTGTCACAGTACACCATAAAATTTATGCTTAGATATTTTGTG